TTTGTGAACAAATAAAGGTTTTTTGATACGAACACGTGGATTTGAGGGTAGCCCTGTTTGCAAAAAAAGTCCGTGCCTTTTTTTGGTGTCAGCTAATGTGACAGGTAATGTTTAACACCTTCTGCTAAATATTTTTTCATGTAAACAATACCTGATTTTTAACGATTTTTTATTCTATATAGAATTATATAGTGAAAACAATTACCGGTGTGATACCTTGAAGGTGATTATGAAAAATCATTTTAATCCTTATTAAAGACATTTTTCATTTTTAAAAGGCATATTTCAACAAAATATGTGATTTTATTAACTTTTTGTTTGAAAACACACAATTTTAAAATTAGAATTAGAATTTACATTATTTTTCACAGATTTCTGTTTAAAAATTAACAATAGGTTATTTTTTACACTCAATACTTTAAAATATGACTAAAAAGGTAGCATTATGCATCTAAAATGTGGAAAGAAGTCAGAGAATATTGTTTTTTCATTTTATATGACTTAACATTATTTGCACCAGCTGACCGCAGTCAATTATAGTGTCTACAGACTTTGCGGTAAAGGGTGTTAAAGCTGATTTTTCAAGAATAGACTAATTCTAGGTTTGCGAATGAATTTTTAGCACAAGCGACAACTGCGATAAAATGTAAACAAGTAAAAATGTTTTTACAGAATGATAATTTCTACAGACACATGATTTATTTTAATTTATTCAGACCTCCAGTGATACATACATTACTGCATTGGAAGAACAGAAATAATGAAATGAGTCAGATCTGTCTAATAAACTTAATACATAAGCTACATAAGTAAAATTCATTAAGAATTTTTCACAGTAAGGAAGGTTATGACCAAAAAATCCTGAAATACTGTCAAGGTCTGCATGATAATACTTATTCTGAGTTCTAACCATGCATCATACATGTAGTGCAGAATGTCACTTAGCAGCATGGCATGCCTTTTGTGGTTCTAAGGACTTTATTTATGCTTTCGCAGCTGACATTCATGTTTTTTCAGTTTGTCGGAGACTGTTTTTTGTTATTTTTTCATTTATATGTAGGTGTTGACTGTCACTTTTGAATTAAGTCTCAGTCAGTGATGCTTATATGAGCATGATCTATTAAGTATATCATTGTACTGAAATATTAATAAATTCCAAATTTAACTGATGAAGAAATTTGGCATATTTACATAATTGAAATATCAGAATAACTATAATTCAGCTAATAAGGTGCACATTTCTTCTCAGATCACTTCCTATAAATTTTATCAGCAGTTTTTGTACACCCACCCACCTCAAAGAATCATGGAGGATGTCCTGAATCTGGTCTCTGTGATGCATTTTGTCTCATAGAAAAGTGTTCAAACTCATTAAAATGTTTAATATTTATATTTTAAAATTTAAATGTTTATTTTTTTATGTAAATTTGTTGAAACAAAAAGATATAATCTTGCATAAATCATGGAAATTCATTAAACACCTTTGGAATTCCTGAATAAATCCATGAAAAGAGAATAATTATGCATGTTAAATTGAAATTTCATGGCTAATTTGTGTCTTAAGAGAAAGCCAGTTGCATAAATCACAACAATAAATTACATCTGAATTGTTGTCTCCAGTTTCTTATCATCAAAGCCAGTTTAATGGAGTGTGGGAGCTGTGAAGAACCTCCCTAGATGCTGATATCATTTTGACTGCCCTGAGTTACAACACAGCATTTAGATAAACTTCTGCACAGCAGCTTGTAGACACATACCTAGGCTTTATTTGGAACATAAATTGACCAGATACAGTTTTCATTATCAACCCAGTATTTAACAATTTCTGTATTTTTGTTCATTCTTTGAAGGGGAAAATGCAACTTTGTTATGTAATAATTACATAATGGTCTTAGACTTGTAAACTCTTTTCTGTTTGTGGTGAAGAACAAAGCATATACTCTCCACAGATAAAAAATTGGTTGCCAAGCTTATTCTTTTAATGATGAAATTCTGCTTCAAAAGATGCACAAAAAACTGCTTCCAGAGTGCTGTGTGTGTTGTTCTTGACTGCTCTGGAGTAAGGGAGATAAATGCTTCATATCTTCAGAAATAAGGGGATTTAGATCACCATACTTAAGGATGTTGGGGACAATTATTTAAAGAATCTCAGGTGCAAAAATGGAAAAAATCGAACTAAAGAATTTTTTCAAAGGTCCTTCAAGGTATCACACCGGTAATTGACCAATCAAAATGAACTTAGTCAAATGTAGGTCCATATATATAAAATTAATTTTCTTTTCTTTTGAGGCGTTTTTCTATTTTCTTCCATGCCAACAACTTTGGTACCTGTGCCTAGTAAATTTTATGTACAAAAATAAAGGTTTTGGACAGGAAAATAGGAGGCTACTTCCTGTAGTGCACTCGAGGTGTTTATAAACACAGTGAAAACACCTGTTTGCAAAGGTGCCTGTGGGTAAGTGACAGGTAATGTTTAACACCTTGCTAAATATTTTTTCATGTAAACAATACCTGATTTTTAACGATTTTTTATTCTATATAGAATTATATAGTGAAAACCTTGATACCTTGAAATTGAAAAATCATTTTTCCTTATTTTTTTCAAAAAGGCATATTTCAACAAAATATGTGATTTTATTAACTTTTTGTTTGAAAACACACAATTTTAAAATTAGAATTAGAATTTACATTATTTTTCACAGATTTCTGTTTAAAAATTAACAATAGGTTATTTTTTACACTCAATACTTTAAAATATGACTAAAAAGGTAGCATTATGCATCTAAAATGTGGAAAGAAGTCAGAGAATATTGTTTTTTCATTTTATATGACTTAACATTATTTGCACCAGCTGACCGCAGTCAATTATAGTGTCTACAGACTTTGCGGTAAAGGGTGTTAAAGCTGATTTTTCAAGAATAGACTAATTCTAGGTTTGCGAATGAATTTTTAGCACAAGCGACAACTGCGATAAAATGTAAACAAGTAAAAATGTTTTCACAGAATGATAATTTCTACAGACACATGATTTATTTTAATTTATTCAGACCTCCAGTGATACATACATTACTGCATTGGAAGAACAGAAATAATGAAATGAGTCAGATCTGTCTAATAAACTTAATACATAAGCTACATTAGTAAAATTCATTAAGAATTTATCAAAGTGAGGAAGGTTATGACCAAAAAATCCTGAAATACTGTCAAGGTCTGCATGATAATACTTATTCTGAGTTCTAACCATGCATCATACATGTAGTGCAGAATGTCACTTAGCAGCATGGCATGCCTTTTGTGGTTCTAAGGACTTTATTTATGCTTTCGCAGCTGACATTCATGTTTTTTCAGTTTGTCGGAGACTGTTTTTTGTTATTTTTTCATTTATATGTAGGTGTTGACTGTCACTTTTGAATTAAGTCTCAGTCAGTGATGCTTATATGAGCATGATCTATTAAGTATATCATTGTACTGAAATATTAATAAATTCCAAATTTAACTGATGAAGAAATTTGGCATATTTACATAATTGAAATATCAGAATAACTATAATTCAGCTAATAAGGTGCACATTTCTTCTCAGATCACTTCCTATAAATTTTATCAGCAGTTTTTGTACCCCCACCCACCTCAAAGAATCATGGAGGATGTCCTGAATATGGTCTCTGTGATGCATTTTGTCTCATAGAAAAGTGTTCAAACTCATTAAAATGTTTAATATTTATATTTTAAAATTTAAATGTTTATTTTTTTATGTAAATTTGTTGAAACAAAAAGATATAATCTTGCATAAATCATGGAAATTCATTAAACACCTTTGGAATTCCTGAATAAATCCATGAAAAGAGAATAATTATGCATGTTAAATTGAAATTTCATGGCTAATTTGTGTCTTAAGAGAAAGCCAGTTGCATAAATCACAACAATAAATTACATCTGAATTGTTGTCTCCAGGTTCTTATCATCAAAGCCAGTTTAATGGAGTGTGGGAGCTGTGAAGAACCTCCCTAGATGCTGATATCATTTTGACTGCCCTGAGTTACAACACAGCATTTAGATAAACTTCTGCACAGCAGCTTGTAGACACATACCTAGGCTTTATTTGGAACATAAATTGACCAGATACAGTTTTCATTATCAACCCAGTATTTAACAATTTCTGTATTTTTGTTCATTCTTTGAAGGGGAAAATGCAACTTTGTTATGTAATAATTACATAATGGTCTTAGACTTGTAAACTCTTTTCTGTTTGTGGTGAAGAACAAAGCATATACTCTCCACGGATAAAAAATTGGTTGCCAAGCTTATTCTTTTAATGGTGAAATTCTGCTTCAAAAGATGCACAAAAAACTGCTTCCAGAGTGCTGTGTGTGTTGTTCTTGACTGCTCTGGAGTAAGGGAGATAAATGCTTCATATCTTCAGAAATAAGGGGATTTAGATCACCAGACTTAGGGATGTTGGGGACAATTATTTAATCTCAGGTGCAAAAATGGAAAAAATGTTCAAAGGTCCTTCAAGGTATCACAAGGTAATTGACCAATCAAAATGAACGTAGTCAAATGTAGGTCCATATATATAGAATTAATTTTCTTTTCCTTTGAGGCGTTTTTCTATTTTCTTCCAGCCACTTTTACAACTTTGGTACCTGTGCAAAATTTTATGTACTTTGTGAATAAATAAAGGTTTTGACAGGAACTATTTTTTTCATGGCATAGGAGGCTACTTCCTGTAGTGCACTCGAGGTGTTTATAAACACAGTGAAAACACGTGGATTTGAGGTGATGTTTGCAGATGAAAAATCATGCCGTTGGGTAAGCTAATGTGACAGGTAATGTTTAACACCTTGCTAAAGTAAACAAATTTTTTAACATTTTTATTCTATATAGAATTATATAGTGAAAACAATTACATATTTGATTGTGAAAAATCATTTTAATCATTAAAGACATTTTTCATTTTTAAAAGGCATATTTCAACAAAATATTTTTTATTAACTTTTTGTTTGAAAACACACAATTTTAAAATTAGAATTAGAATTTACATTATTTTTCACAGATTTCTGTTTAAAAATTAACAATAGGTTATTTTTTACACTCAATACTTTAAAATATGACTAAAAAGGTAGCATTATGCATCTAAAATGTGGAAAGAAGTCAGAGAATATTGTTTTTTCATTTTATATGACTTAACATTATTTGCACCAGCTGACCGCAGTCAATTATAGTGTCTACAGACTTTGCGGTAAAGGGTGTTAAAGCTGATTTTTCAAGAATAGACTAATTCTAGGTTTGCGAATGAATTTTTAGCACAAGCGACAACTGCGATAAAATGTAAACAAGTAAAAATGTTTTCACAGAATGATAATTTCTACAGACACATGATTTATTTTAATTTATTCAGACCTCCAGTGATACATACATTACTGCATTGGAAGAACAGAAATAATGAAATGAGTCAGATCTGTCTAATAAACTTAATACATAAGCTACATTAGTAAAATTCATTAAGAATTTATCGAAGTAAGGAAGGTTATGACCAAAAAATCCTGAAATACTGTCAAGGTCTGCATGATAATACTTATTCTGAGTTCTAACCATGCATCATACATGTAGTGCAGAATGTCACTTAGCAGCATGGCATGCCTTTTGTGGTTCTAAGGACTTTATTTATGCTTTCGCAGCTGACATTCATGTTTTTTCAGTTTGTCGGAGACTGTTTTTTGTTATTTTTTCATTTATATGTAGGTGTTGACTGTCACTTTTGAATTAAGTCTCAGTCAGTGATGCTTATATGAGCATGATCTATTAAGTATATCATTGTACTGAAATATTAATAAATTCCAAATTTAACTGATGAAGAAATTTGGCATATTTACATAATTGAAATATCAGAATAACTATAATTCAGCTAATAAGGTGCACATTTCTTCTCAGATCACTTCCTATAAATTTTATCAGCAGTTTTTGTACACCCACCCACCTCAAAGAATCATGGAGGATGTCCTGAATCTGGTCTCTGTGATGCATTTTGTCTCATAGAAAAGTGTTCAAACTCATTAAAATGTTTAATATTTATATTTTAAAATTTAAATGTTTATTTTTTTATGTAAATTTGTTGAAACAAAAAGATATAATCTTGCATAAATCATGGAAATTCATTAAACACCTTTGGAATTCCTGAATAAATCCATGAAAAGAGAATAATTATGCATGTTAAATTGAAATTTCATGGCTAATTTGTGTCTTAAGAGAAAGCCAGTTGCATAAATCACAACAATAAATTACATCTGAATTGTTGTCTCCAGGTTCTTATCATCAAAGCCAGTTTAATGGAGTGTGGGAGCTGTGAAGAACCTCCCTAGATGCTGATATCATTTTGACTGCCCTGAGTTACAACACAGCATTTAGATAAACTTCTGCACAGCAGCTTGTAGACACATACCTAGGCTTTATTTGGAACATAAATTGACCAGATACAGTGTTCATTATCAACCCAGTATTTAACAATTTCTGTATTTTTGTTCATTCTTTGAAGGGGAAAATGCAACTTTGTTATGTAATAATTACATAATGGTCTTAGACTTGTAAACTCTTTTCTGTTTGTGGTGAAGAACAAAGCATATACTCTCCACGGATAAAAAATTGGTTGCCAAGCTTATTCTTTTAATGGTGAAATTCTGCTTCAAAAGATGCACAAAAAACTGCTTCCAGAGTGCTGTGTGTGTTGTTCTTGACTGCTCTGGAGTAAGGGAGATAAATGCTTCATATCTTCAGAAATAAGGGGATTTAGATCACCAGACTTAGGGATGTTGGGGACAATTATTTAATGAATCTCAGGTGCAAAAATGGAAAAAATCGAACACCTTCAAAGGTCCTTCAAGGTATCACACCGGTAATTGACCAATCAAAATGAACTTAGTCAAATGTAGGTCCATATATATAGAATTAATTTTCTTTTCTTTTGAAAGGTCCTTGCCTAAAATTTTATGTACTTTGTGAATAAATAAAGGTTTTGGACAGGAACTATTTTTTTCATGGCATAGGAGGCTACTTCCTGTAGTGCAAATAAACACAGTGAAAACACGTCATTTTTTTTGGTGTCAAATGTGACAGGTAATGTTTAACACCTTCTGCCTTTTTATTTTTTATTCTATATAGAATTATATAGTGAAAACAATTACCGGTGTGAAAAGGTGATTGTGAAAAATCATTTTTCCTTATTTTTAAAAAGGCATATTTCAACAAAATATGTGATTTTATTAACTTTTTGTTTGAAAACACACAATTTTAAAATTAGAATTAGAATTTACATTATTTTTCACAGATTTCTGTTTAAAAATTAACAATAGGTTATATTTTACACTCAATACTTTAAAATATGACTAAAAAGGTAGCATTATGCATCTAAAATGTGGAAAGAAGTCAGAGAATATTGTTTTTTCATTTTATATGACTTAACATTATTTGCACCAGCTGACCGCAGTCAATTATAGTGTCTACAGACTTTGCGGTAAAGGGTGTTAAAGCTGATTTTTCAAGAATAGACTAATTCTAGGTTTGCGAATGAATTTTTAGCATAAGCGACAACTGCGATAAAATGTAAACAAGTAAAAATGTTTTCACAGAATGATAATTTCTACAGACACATGATTTATTTTAATTTATTCAGACCTCCAGTGATACATACATTACTGCATTGGAAGAACAGAAATAATGAAATGAGTCAGATCTGTCTAATAAACTTAATACATAAGCTACATTAGTAAAATTCATTAAGAATTTTTCAAAGTAAGGAAGGTTATGACCAAAAATTCCTGAAATACTGTCAAGGTCTGCATGATAATACTTATTCTGAGTTCTAACCATGCATCATACATGTAGTGCAGAATGTCACTTAGCAGCATGGCATGCCTTTTGTGGTTCTAAGGACTTTATTTATGCTTTCGCAGCTGACATTCATGTTTTTTCAGTTTGTCGGAGACTGTTTTTTGTTATTTTTTCATTTATATGTAGGTGTTGACTGTCACTTTTGAATTAAGTCTCAGTCAGTGATGCTTATATGAGCATGATCTATTAAGTATATCATTGTACTGAAATATTAATAAATTCCAAATTTAACTGATGAAGAAATTTGGCATATTTACATAATTGAAATATCAGAATAACTATAATTCAGCTAATAAGGTGCACATTTCTTCTCAGATCACTTCCTATAAATTTTATCAACAGTTTTGGTACACCCACCCACCTCAAAGAATCATGGAGGATGTCCTGAATCTGGTCTCTGTGATGCATTTTGTCTCATAGAAAAGTGTTCAAACTCATTAAAATGTTTAATATTTATATTTTAAAATCTAAATGTTCATTTTTTTATGTAAATTTGTTGAAACAAAAAGATATAATCTTGCATAAATCATGGAAATTCATTAAACACCTTTGGAATTCCTGAATAAATCCATGAAAAGAGAATAATTATGCATGTTAAATTGAAATTTCATGGCTAATTTGTGTCTTAAGAGAAAGCCAGTTGCATAAATCACAACAATAAATTACATCTGAATTGTTGTCTCCAGGTTCTTATCATCAAAGCCAGTTTAATGGAGTGTGGGAGCTGTGAAGAACCTCCCTAGATGCTGATATCATTTTGACTGCCCTGAGTTACAACACAGCATTTAGATAAACTTCTGCACAGCAGCTTGTAGACACATACCTAGGCTTTATTTGGAACATAAATTGACCAGATACAGTGTTCATTATCAACCCAGTATTTAACAATTTCTGTATTTTTGTTCATTCTTTGAAGGGGAAAATGCAACTTTGTTATGTAATAATTACATAATGGTCTTAGACTTGTAAACTCTTTTCTGTTTGTGGTGAAGAACAAAGCATATACTCTCCACGGATAAAAAATTGGTTGCCAAGCTTATTCTTTTAATGGTGAAATTCTGCTTCAAAAGATGCACAAAAAACTGCTTCCAGAGTGCTGTGTGTGTTGTTCTTGACTGCTCTGGAGTAAGGGAGATAAATGCTTCATATCTTCAGAAATAAGGGGATTTAGATCACCAGACTTAGGGATGTTGGGGACAATTATTTCATGAATCTCAGGTGCAAAAATGGAAAAAATCGAACACCTTCAAAGGTCCTTCAAGGTATCACACCGGTAATTGACCAATCAAAATGAACTTAGTCAAATGTAGGTCCATATATATAGAATTAATTTTCTTTTCTTTTGAGGCGTTTTTCTATTTTCTTCCATGCCACTTTTACAACTTTGGTACCTGTGCCTAGTAAATTTTATGTACTTTGTGAATAAATAAAGGTTTTGGACAGGAACTATTTTTTTTACAGCATAGGAGGCTACTTCCTGTAGTGCACTCGAGGTGTTTATAAACACAGTGAAAACACGTGGATTTGAGGGTAGCCCTGTTTGCAGATGGAAAAAGTCCGAAAATGCCGTGTGGGTACCCTGTTTTTTGGTGTCAGCTAATGTGACAGGTAATGTTTAACACCTTCTGCTAAATTTTTTCATGTAAACAAATACCTGATTTTTAACGATTTTATATTCTATATAGAATTATATAGTGAAAACAATTACCGGTGTGATACCTTGAAGGTGATTGTGAAAAATCATTTTAATCCTTATTAAAGACATTTTTCATTTTTAAAAGGCATATTTCAACAAAATATGTGATTTTATTAACTTTTTGTTTGAAAACACACAATTTTAAAATTAGAATTAGAATTTACATTATTTTTCACAGATTTCTGTTTAAAAATTAACAATAGGTTATATTTTACACTCAATACTTTAAAATATGACTAAAAAGGTAGCATTATGCATCTAAAATGTGGAAAGAAGTCAGAGAATATTGTTTTTTCATTTTATATGACTTAACATTATTTGCACCAGCTGACCGCAGTCAATTATAGTGTCTACAGACTTTGCGGTAAAGGGTGTTAAAGCTGATTTTTCAAGAATAGACTAATTCTAGGTTTGCGAATGAATTTTTAGCATAAGCGACAACTGCGATAAAATGTAAACAAGTAAAAATGTTTTCACAGAATGATAATTTCTACAGACACATGATTTATTTTAATTTATTCAGACCTCCAGTGATACATACATTACTGCATTGGAAGAACAGAAATAATGAAATGAGTCAGATCTGTCTAATAAACTTAATACATAAGCTACATTAGTAAAATTCATTAAGAATTTATCAAAGTAAGGAAGGTTATGACCAAAAAATCCTGAAATACTGTCAAGGTCTGCATGATAATACTTATTCTGAGTTCTAACCATGCATCATACATGTAGTGCAGAATGTCACTTAGCAGCATGGCATGCCTTTTGTGGTTCTAAGGACTTTATTTATGCTTTCGCAGCTGACATTCATGTTTTTTCAGTTTGTCGGAGACTGTTTTTTGTTATTTTTTCATTTATATGTAGGTGTTGACTGTCACTTTTGAATTAAGTCTCAGTCAGTGATGCTTATATGAGCATGATCTACTAAGTATATCATTGTACTGAAATATTAATAAATTCCAAATTTAACTGATGAAGAAATTTGGCATATTTACATAATTGAAATATCAGAATAACTATAATTCAGCTAATAAGGTGCACATTTCTTCTCAGATCACTTCCTATAAATTTTATCAACAGTTTTGGTACACCCACCCACCTCAAAGAATCATGAAGGATGTCCTGAATCTGGTCTCTGTGATGCATTTTGTCTCATAGAAAAGTGTTCAAACTCATTAAAATGTTTAATATTTATATTTTAAAATCTAAATGTTCATTTTTTTATGTAAATTTGTTGAAACAAAAAGATATAATCTTGCATAAATCATGGAAATTCATTAAACACCTTTGGAATTCCTGAATAAATCCATGAAAAGAGAATAATTATGCATGTTAAATTGAAATTTCATGGCTAATTTGTGTCTTAAGAGAAAGCCAGTTGCATAAATCACAACAATAAATTACATCTGAATTGTTGTCTCCAGGTTCTTATCATCAAAGCCAGTTTAATGGAGTGTGGGAGCTGTGAAGAACCTCCCTAGATGCTGATATCATTTTGACTGCCCTGAGTTACAACACAGCATTTAGATAAACTTCTGCACAGCAGCTTGTAGACACATACCTAGGCTTTATTTGGAACATAAATTGACCAGATACAGTGTTCATTATCAACCCAGTATTTAACAATTTCTGTATTTTTGTTCATTCTTTGAAGGGGAAAATGCAACTTTGTTATGTAATAATTACATAATGGTCTTAGACTTGTAAACTCTTTTCTGTTTGTGGTGAAGAACAAAGCATATACTCTCCACGGATAAAAAATTGGTTGCCAAGCTTATTCTTTTAATGGTGAAATTCTGCTTCAAAAGATGCACAAAAAACTGCTTCCAGAGTGCTGTGTGTGTTGTTCTTGACTGCTCTGGAGTAAGGGAGATAAATGCTTCATATCTTCAGAAATAAGGGGATTTAGATCACCAGACTTAGGGATGTTGGGGACAATTATTTCATGAATCTCAGGTGCAAAAATGGAAAAAATCGAACACCTTCAAAGGTCCTTCAAGGTATCACACCGGTAATTGACCAATCAAAATGAACTTAGTCAAATGTAGGTCCATATATATAGAATTAATTTTCTTTTCTTTTGAGGCGTTTTTCTATTTTCTTCCATGCCACTTTTACAACTTTGGTACCTGTGCCTAGTAAATTTTATGTACTTTGTGAATAAATAAAGGTTTTGGACAGGAACTATTTTTTTCATGGCATAGGAGGCTACTTCCTGTAGTGCACTCGAGGTGTTTATAAACACAGTGAAAACACGTGGATTTGAGGGTAGCCCTGTTTGCAGATGGAAAAAGTCCGAAAATGCCGTGTGGGTACCCTGTTTTTTGGTGTCAGCTAATGTGACAGGTAATGTTTAACACCTTCTGCTAAATTTTTTCATGTAAACAAATACCTGATTTTTAACGATTTTATATTCTATATAGAATTATATAGTGAAAACAATTACCGGTGTGATACCTTGAAGGTGATTGTGAAAAATCATTTTAATCCTTATTAAAGACATTTTTCATTTTTAAAAGGCATATTTCAACAAAATATGTGATTTTATTAACTTTTTGTTTGAAAACACACAATTTTAAAATTAGAATTAGAATTTACATTATTTTTCACAGATTTCTGTTTAAAAATTAACAATAGGTTATATTTTACACTCAATACTTTAAAATATGACTAAAAAGGTAGCATTATGCATCTAAAATGTGGAAAGAAGTCAGAGAATATTGTTTTTTCATTTTATATGACTTAACATTATTTGCACCAGCTGACCGCAGTCAATTATAGTGTCTACAGACTTTGCGGTAAAGGGTGTTAAAGCTGATTTTTCAAGAATAGACTAATTCTAGGTTTGCGAATGAATTTTTAGCATAAGCGACAACTGCGATAAAATGTAAACAAGTAAAAATGTTTTCACAGAATGATAATTTCTACAGAAACATGATTTATTTTAATTTATTCAGACCTCCAGTGATACATACATTACTGCATTGGAAGAACAGAAATAATGAAATGAGTCAGATCTGTCTAATAAACTTAATACATAAGCTACATTAGTAAAATTCATTAAGAATTTACCAAAGTAAGGAAGGTTATGACCAAAAAATCCTGAAATACTGTCAAGGTCTGCATGATAATACTTATTCTGAGTTCTAACCATGCATCATACATGTAGTGCAGAATGTCACTTAGCAGCATGGCATGCCTTTTGTGGTTCTAAGGACTTTATTTATGCTTTCGCAGCTGACATTCATGTTTTTTCAGTTTGTCGGAGACTGTTTTTTGTTATTTTTTCATTTATATGTAGGTGTTGACTGTCACTTTTGAATTAAGTCTCAGTCAGTGATGCTTATATGAGCATGATCTACTAAGTATATCATTGTACTGAAATATTAATAAATTCCAAATTTAACTGATGAAGAAATTTGGCATATTTACATAATTGAAATATCAGAATAACTATAATTCAGCTAATAAGGTGCACATTTCTTCTCAGATCACTTCCTATAAATTTTATCAACAGTTTTGGTACACCCACCCACCTCAAAGAATCATGAAGGATGTCCTGAATCTGGTCTCTGTGATGCATTTTGTCTCATAGAAAAGTGTTCAAACTCATTAAAATGTTTAATATTTATATTTTAAAATCTAAATGTTCATTTTTTTATGTAAATTTGTTGAAACAAAAAGATATAATCTTGCATAAATCATGGAAATTCATTAAACACCTTTGGAATTCCTGAATAAATCCATGAAAAGAGAATAATTATGCATGTTAAATTGAAATTTCATGGCTAATTTGTGTCTTAAGAGAAAGCCAGTTGCATAAATCACAACAATAAATTACATCTGAATTGTTGTCTCCAGGTTCTTACCATCAAAGCCAGTTTAATGGAGTGTGGGAGCTGTGAAGAACCTCCCTAGATGCTGATATCATTTTGACTGCCCTGAGGTACAACACAGCATTTAGATAAACTTCTGCACAGCAGCTTGTAGACACATACCTAGGCTTTATTTGGAACATAAATTGACCAGATACAGTGTTCATTATCAACCCAGTATTTAACAATTTCTGTATTTTTGTTCATTCTTTGAAGGGGAAAATGCAACTTTGTTATGTAATAATTACATAATGGTCTTAGACTTGTAAACTCTTTTCTGTTTGTGGTGAAGAACAAAGCATATACTCTCCACGGATAAAAAATTGGTTGCCAAGCTTATTCTTTTAATGGTGAAATTCTGCTTCAAAAGATGCACAAAAAACTGCTTCCAGAGTGCTGTGTGTGTTGTTCTTGACTGCTCTGGAGTAAGGGAAGATAAATGCTTCATATCTTCAGAAATAAGGGGATTTAGATCACCAGACTTAGGGATGTTGGGGACAATTATTTCATGAATCTCAGGTGCAAAAATGGAAAAAATCGAACACCTTCAAAGGTCCTTCAAGGTATCACACCGGTAATTGACCAATCAAAATGAACTTAGTCAAATGTAGGTCCATATATATAGAATTAATTTTCTTTTCTTTTGAGGCGTTTTTCTATTTTCTTCCATGCCACTTTTACAACTTTGGTACCTGTGCCTAGTAAATTTTATGTACTTTGTGAATAAATAAAGGTTTTGGACAGGAACTATTTTTTTCATGGCATAGGAGGCTACTTCCTGTAGTGCACTCGAGGTGTTTATAAACACAGTGAAAACACGTGGATTTGAGGGTAGCCCTGTTTGCAGATGGAAAAAGTCCGAAAATGCCGTGTGGGTACCCTGTTTTTTGGTGTCAGCTAATGTGACAGGTAATGTTTAACACCTTCTGCTAAGTATTTTTTCATGTAAACAAATACCTGATTTTTAACGATTTTATATTCTATATAGAATTATATAGTGAAAACAATTACCGGTGTGATACCTTGAAGGTGATTGTGAAAAATCATTTTAATCCTTATTAAAGACATTTTTCATTTTTAAAAGGCATATTTCAACAAAATATGTGATTTTATTAACTTTTTGTTTGAAAACACACAATTTTAAAATTAGAATTAGAATTTACATTATTTTTCACAGATTTCTGTTTAAAAATTAACAATAGGTTATATTTTACACTCAATACTTTAAAATATGACTAAAAAGGTAGCATTATGCATCTAAAATGTGGAAAGAAGTCAGAGAATATTGTTTTTTCATTTTATATGACTTAACATTATTTGCACCAGCTGACCGCAGTCAATTATAGTGTCTACAGACTTTGCGGTAAAGGGTGTTAAAGCTGATTTTTCAAGAATAGACTAATTCTAGGTTTGCGAATGAATTTTTAGCATAAGCGACAACTGCGATAAAATGTAAACAAGTAAAAATGTTTTCACAGAATGATAATTTCTACAGAAACATGATTTATTTTAATTTATTCAGACCTCCAGTGATACATACATTACTGCATTGGAAGAACAGAAATAATGAAATGAGTCAGATCTGTCTAATAAACTTAATACATAAGCTACATTAGTAAAATTCATTAAGAATTTACCAAAGTAAGGAAGGTTATGACCAAAAAATCCTGAAATACTGTCAAGGTCTGCATGATAATACTTATTCTGAGTTCTAACCATGCATCATACATGTAGTGCAGAATGTCACTTAGCAGCATGGCATGCCTTTTGTGGTTCTAAGGACTTTATTTATGCTTTCGCAGCTGACATTCATGTTTTTTCAGTTTGTCGGAGACTGTTTTTTGTTATTTTTTCATTTATATGTAGGTGTTGACTGTCACTTTTGAATTAAGTCTCAGTCAGTGATGCTTATATGAGCATGATCTACTAAGTATATAATTGTACTGAAATATTAATAAATTCCAAATTTAACTGATGAAGAAATTTGGCATATTTACATAATTGAAATATCAGAATAACTATAATTCAGCTAATAAGGTGCACATTTCTTCTCAGATCACTTCCTATAAATTTTATCAACAGTTTTGGTACACCCACCCACCTCAAAGAATCATGGAGGATGTCCTGAATCTGGTCTCTGTGATGCATTTTGTCTCATAGAAAAGTGTTCAAACTCATTAAAATGTTTAATATTTATATTTTAAAATCTAAATGTTCATTTTTTTATGTAAATTTGTTGAAACAAAAAGATATAATCTTGCATAAATCATGGAAATTCATTAAACACCTTTGGAATTCCTGAATAAATCCATGAAAAGAGAATAATTATGCATGTTAAATTGAAATTTCATGGCTAATTTGTGTCTTAAGAGAAAGCCAGTTGCATAAATCACAACAATAAATTACATCTGAATTGTTGTCTCCAGGTTCTTATCATCAAAGCCAGTTTAATGGAGTGTGGGAGCTGTGAAGAACCTCCCTAGATGCTGATATCATTTTGACTGCCCTGAGTTACAACACAGCATTTAGATAAACTTCTGCACAGCAGCTTGTAGACACATACCTAGGCTTTATTTGGAACATAAATTGACCAGATACAGTGTTCATTATCAACCCAGTATTTAACAATTTCTGTATTTTTGTTCATTCTTTGAAGGGGAAAATGCAACTTTGTTATGTAATAATTACATAATGGTCTTAGACTTGTAAACTCTTTTCTGTTTGTGGTGAAGAACAAAGCATATACTCTCCACGGATAAAAAATTGGTTGCCAAGCTTATTCTTTTAATGGTGAAATTCTGCTTCAAAAGATGCACAAAAAACTGCTTCCAGAGTGCTGTGTGTGTTGTTCTTGACTGCTCTGGAGTAAGGGAGATAAATGCTTCATATCTTCAGAAATAAGGGGATTTAGATCACCAGACTTAGGGATGTTGGGGACAATTATTTCATGAATCTCAGGTGCAAAAATGGAAAAAATCGAACACCTTCAAAGGTCCTTCAAGGTATCACACCGGTAATTGACCAATCAAAATGAACTTAGTCAAATGTAGGTCCATATATATAGAATTAATTTTCTTTTCTTTTGAGGCGTTTTTCTATTTTCTTCCATGCCACTTTTACAACTTTGGTACCTGTGCCTAGTAAATTTTATGTACTTTGTGAATAAATAAAGGTTTTGGACAGGAACTATTTTTTTCATGGCATAGGAGGCTACTTCCTGTAGTGCACTCGAGGTGTTTATAAACACAGTGAAAACACGTGGATTTGAGGGTAGCCCTGTTTGCAGATGGAAAAAGTCCGAAAATGCCGTGTGGGTACCCTGTTTTTTGGTGTCAGCTAATGTGACAGGTAATGTTTAACACCTTCTGCTAAGTATTTTTTCATGTAAACAAATACCTGATTTTTAACGATTTTATATTCTATATAGAATTATATAGTGAAAACAATTACCGGTGTGATACCTTGAAGGTGATTGTGAAAAATCATTTTAATCCTTATTAAAGACATTTTTCATTTTTAAAAGGCATATTTCAACAAAATATGTGATTTTATTAACTTTTTGTTTGAAAACACACAATTTTAAAATTAGAATTAGAATTTACATTATTTTTCACAGATTTCTGTTTAAAAATTAACAATAGGTTATATTTTACACTCAATACTTTAAAATATGACTAAAAAGGTAGCATTATGCATCTAAAATGTGGAAAGAAGTCAGAGAATATTGTTTTTTCATTTTATATGACTTAACATTATTTGCACCAGCTGACCGCAGTCAATTATAGTGTCTACAGACTTTGCGGTAAAGGGTGTTAAAGCTGATTTTTCAAGAATAGACTAATTCTAGGTTTGCGAATGAATTTTTAGCATAAGCGACAACTGCGATAAAATGTAAACAAGTAAAAATGTTTTCACAGAATGATAATTTCTACAGAACATGATTTATTTTAATTTATTCAGACCTCCAGTGATACATACATTACTGCATTGGAAGAACAGAAATAATGAAATGAGTCAGATCTGTCTAATAAACTTAATACATAAGCTACATTAGTAAAATTCATTAAGAATTTACAAAGTAAGGAAGGTTATGACCAAAAAATCCTGAAATACTGTCAAGGTCTGCATGATAATACTTATTCTGAGTTCTAACCATGCATCATACATGTAGTGCAGAATGTCACTTAGCAGCATGGCATGCCTTTTGTGGTTCTAAGGACTTTATTTATGCTTTCGCAGCTGACATTCATGTTTTTTCAGTTTGTCGGAGACTGTTTTTTGTTATTTTTTCATTTATATGTAGGTGTTGACTGTCACTTTTGAATTAAGTCTCAGTCAGTGATGCTTATATGAGCATGATCTACTAAGTATATCATTGTACTGAAATATTAATAAATTCCAAATTTAACTGATGAAGAAATTTGGCATATTTACATAATTGAAATATCAGAATAACTATAATTCAGCTAATAAGGTGCACATTTCTTCTCAGATCACTTCCTATAAATTTTATCAACAGTTTTGGTACACCCACCCACCTCAAAGAATCATGGAGGATGTCCTGAATCTGGTCTCTGTGATGCATTTTGTCTCATAGAAAAGTGTTCAAACTCATTAAAATGTTTAATATTTATATTTTAAAATCTAAATGTTCATTTTTTTATGTAAATTTGTTGAAACAAAAAGATATAATCTTGCATAAATCATGGAAATTCATTAAACACCTTTGGAATTCCTGAATAAATCCATGAAAAGAGAATAATTATGCATGTTAAATTGAAATTTCATGGCTAATTTGTGTCTTAAGAGAAAGCCAGTTGCATAAATCACAACAATAAATTACATCTGAATTGTTGTCTCCAGGTTCTTATCATCAAAGCCAGTTTAATGGAGTGTGGGAGCTGTGAAGAACCTCCCTAGATGCTGATATCATTTTGACTGCCCTGAGTTACAACACAGCATTTAGATAAACTTCTGCACAGCAGCTTGTAGACACATACCTAGGCTTTATTTGGAACATAAATTGACCAGATACAGTGTTCATTATCAACCCAGTATTTAACAATTTCTGTATTTTTGTTCATTCTTTGAAGGGGAAAATGCAACTTTGTTATGTAATAATTACATAATGGTCTTAGACTTGTAAACTCTTTTCTGTTTGTGGTGAAGAACAAAGCATATACTCTCCACGGATAAAAAATTGGTTGCCAAGCTTATTCTTTTAATGGTGAAATTCTGCTTCAAAAGATGCACAAAAAACTGCTTCCAGAGTGCTGTGTGTGTTGTTCTTGACTGCTCTGGAGTAAGGGAGATAAATGCTTCATATCTTCAGAAATAAGGGGATTTAGATCACCAGACTTAGGGATGTTGGGGACAATTATTTCATGAATCTCAGGTGCAAAAATGGAAAAAATCGAACACCTTCAAAGGTCAAAGGTCCTCAAGGTATCACACCGGTAATTGACCAATCAAAATGAACTTAGTCAAATGTAGGTCCATATATATAGAATTAATTTTCTTTTCTTTTGAGGCGTTTTTCTATTTTCTTCCATGCCACTTTTACAACTTTGGTACCTGTGCCTAGTAAATTTTATGTACTTTGTGAATAAATAAAGGTTTTGGACAGGAACTATTTTTTTCATGGCATAGGAGGCTACTTCCTGTAGTGCACTCGAGGTGTTTATAAACACAGTGAAAACACGTGGATTTGAGGGTAGCCCTGTTTGCAGATGGAAAAAGTCCGAAAATGCCGTGTGGGTACCCTGTTTTTTGGTGTCAGCTAATGTGACAGGTAATGTTTAACACCTTCTGCTAAGTATTTTTTCATGTAAACAAATACCTGATTTTTAACGATTTTATATTCTATATAGAATTATATAGTGAAAACAATTACCGGTGTGATACCTTGAAGGTGATTGTGAAAAATCATTTTAATCCTTATTAAAGACATTTTTCATTTTTAAAAGGCATATTTCAACAAAATATGTGATTTTATTAACTTTTTGTTTGAAAACACACAATTTTAAAATTAGAATTAGAATTTACATTATTTTTCACAGATTTCTGTTTAAAAATTAACAATAGGTTATATTTTACACTCAATACTTTAAAATATGACTAAAAAGGTAGCATTATGCATCTAAAATGTGGAAAGAAGTCAGAGAATATTGTTTTTTCATTTTATATGACTTAACATTATTTGCACCAGCTGACCGCAGTCAATTATAGTGTCTACAGACTTTGCGGTAAAGGGTGTTAAAGCTGATTTTTCAAGAATAGACTAATTCTAGGTTTGCGAATGAATTTTTAGCATAAGCGACAACTGCGATAAAATGTAAACAAGTAAAAATGTTTTCACAGAATGATAATTTCTACAGAAACATGATTTATTTTAATTTATTCAGACCTCCAGTGATACATACATTACTGCATTGGAAGAACAGAAATAATGAAATGAGTCAGATCTGTCTAATAAACTTAATACATAAGCTACATTAGTAAAATTCATTAAGAATTTATCAAAGTAAGGAAGGTTATGACCAAAAAATCCTGAAATACTGTCAAGGTCTGCATGATAATACTTATTCTGAGTTCTAACCATGCATCATACATGTAGTGCAGAATGTCACTTAGCAGCATGGCATGCCTTTTGTGGTTCTAAGGACTTTATTTATGCTTTCGCAGCTGACATTCATGTTTTTTCAGTTTGTCGGAGACTGTTTTTTGTTATTTTTTCATTTATATGTAGGTGTTGACTGTCACTTTTGAATTAAGTCTCAGTCAGTGATGCTTATATGAGCATGATCTACTAAGTATATCATTGTACTGAAATATTAATAAATTCCAAATTTAACTGATGAAGAAATTTGGCATATTTACATAATTGAAATATCAGAATAACTATAATTCAGCTAATAAGGTGCACATTTCTTCTCAGATCACTTCCTATAAATTTTATCAACAGTTTTGGTACACCCACCCACCTCAAAGAATCATGGAGGATGTCCTGAATCTGGTCTCTGTGATGCATTTTGTCTCATAGAAAAGTGTTCAAACTCATTAAAATGTTTAATATTTATATTTTAAAATCTAAATGTTCATTTTTTTATGTAAATTTGTTGAAACAAAAAGATATAATCTTGCATAAATCATGGAAATTCATTAAACACCTTTGGAATTCCTGAATAAATCCATGAAAAGAGAATAATTATGCATGTTAAATTGAAATTTCATGGCTAATTTGTGTCTTAAGAGAAAGCCAGTTGCATAAATCACAACAATAAATTACATCTGAATTGTTGTCTCCAGGTTCTTATCATCAAAGCCAGTTTAATGGAGTGTGGGAGCTGTGAAGAACCTCCCTAGATGCTGATATCATTTTGACTGCCCTGAGTTACAACACAGCATTTAGATAAACTTCTGCACAGCAGCTTGTAGACACATACCTAGGCTTTATTTGGAACATAAATTGACCAGATACAGTGTTCATTATCAACCCAGTATTTAACAATTTCTGTATTTTTGTTCATTCTTTGAAGGGGAAAATGCAACTTTGTTATGTAATAATTACATAATGGTCTTAGACTTGTAAACTCTTTTCTGTTTGTGGTGAAGAACAAAGCATATACTCTCCACAGATAAAAAATTGGTTGCCAAGCTTATTCTTTTAATGATGAAATTCTGCTTCAAAAGATGCACAAAAAACTGCTTCCAGAGTGCTGTGTGTGTTGTTCTTGACTGCTCTGGAGTAAGGGAGATAAATGCTTCATATCTTCAGAAATAAGGGGATTATAATTGGGATTTGATCTCTTTAGTAGAAAATAATAGATATATAATTTAAAATAGAAATACATTTAAAAAATCTAACCACTGTACAAAAGTACAATAATTTTCAAATGAATCAGTTTAATTTTTTTCCAATAAAATTTTTATCAATAATAATATACACTTTTATTATTATATATGTAATATTAAGATCCATTTTCTGTATATATAATATCAAATTCTCAAAATAAAAAAAGTGCCGTTTTGACTTTTCTAAAGTGCCGTTTTGACTACTCTCAAGTGCCGTTTTGCATATTTCCTAAGTGCCGTTTTCACCAGGTGCCGTTTTGACTTGTACCCGTTATCTCGCGCAACCCTATTCATATGTAAATGAGCCTCGCGAGATCTAAGATGGCGTATTTTGGATGTAAACAAGAAGATCGACGAATTTTTTTTCCATCCAGTATTTGCAGGTATGGAATAATTATTGTTATGATTATATAAAATTGGTATAGTAGGTATTTGATTTAACTTCATGTGCTAATATGTTAGACGGTGTGACCGTTAGTGAGGGCGGAGCCATGAAGAGAAAATTGCTACCTTTTATTGTTTAATGACAAATCAGTTAAATTCTGAAATTGTATGTCAGTGTCAGAGAATCATAACAAAGAATTCAGTTCTTACAAAAAAACTTTTCATTCAAATACATGTAATAAATCTAAGAACTAACTGAGATATTTCATCATGAGACAAAGGGTTGTCTTAAGCCAGAGTACTAAACGTCGAAGAATGTATTGTGGAAAGGGAGGGGCATGCACTGGACCAGTAAGGGATTCAACGTACCAAGGTCCAAAAAATGTGATACACCTCGGCCCAACGACACCTCAAACTTTAATGCATGTAACAGTAAACTTGTTCCCAAATATATCCTACAATAATCAACTCATAAACTTTTCTGAGCATCATTTCTTTGTCTTTCACTACTTTTAATTCATATGCTTATTTAACAACACTGATCTGGAAACCTCAAGTCATTTCTCAACTGTTGTTACTCCCATTACATTATCATCGTTATTACGTCATCTTAAGTAAGAACAATATATCTATTGTCAAGACCAGATCAGAAGACGAACTCAGATGACCTAAAATACAGACAGATGGTCTACTTCCTGGATGAATCTCATCATCAGACCAAATTTGACTGTGTTACTATCACGAAGTCAAGGTTGAAAATATAACAGCATCACAACTTTTATGAGAAAAAAAATTTGCAACGGATTCATGATTAGGGACATTTATTAGGTATATTTCACTTTTCAGGTTTTTTTTTTTTTTTTTTTTTTGGCTGATTTTGTTAAAACAAATCTGATTTAAATAGTCTTTCGAATTTTCTAAATCTAACATTAACACAATCGTTTTGAAAACAGTTATACTTTTTAATTATCTGAAGAAAAAAAACTTGGTTAATCATATAGTTTCAAAACCAAAACTTGTGAATAGTAGGGTACACTTCTGAGAAGTTTGAATTGAATATTTATCTTTATTGATGTCAAACAAAAATTCTGAATATTTGCTTCATGTTTTTAAAAGTTTTAAAGCACATTTATTAGGATAGAAAACTATATTGATATGCTTGATGTGTATTACATTAACAGCATGCACTGCAACATTGAAGTCATATAACTATTTACATGCATTTACTGATACATGCAGACTGAACAACTACCTCTCCAGACTGTACATCATACATTGTCTAACTTAGTTTTTCCTAATTTTAGACTTTACAGTATATATGTAATTCCAATTGTCTAAAAAAAATCTTTTCTATATTTTTAAAATTCATATATAATTTTATATATCCATTAAGATTTTTGTTTTGATTATTATATTTAAGATACTAAAATTTTGTCATTTGAAAAACTTCATAAAATTAAAATATTGAATTTTAAAAATCACAACAAAAATGAGACTCAGACTTCCATCTGCTAAATATTTATATATCTATGTACAAGTAGATATTCATAAACAATTTGGATACCTAAAAAATTTTTTTAAAAATATTCCACACATTTATTGAGTCCCTATATTTAGACTTTTCACAGGGTATTAAATTTTAAATATAACTTTTAAAACATATTTACCTGTTCAAAAAAATTGTACAGTATGTCTAAAAAAAAAAATACTATATTTCTAGCTTGGTATGTATTGACAATAATCCTGAAGACATTCGTTATTATTAAATTTTATTAACAAATAAATAAGGATTATTTTCCTTCTACAGCCTAGTGAAAGGCGCCACATATAGATCCGCTCCTCAATAGTGCAGACGACAGCGCCGCCTGTAGGGAAATTTAACCAATCAAATGCCGTTATACTTGTGAAGCGCGAACTATAAATAAATCTAAACGTCTAAATCGAAAGTTGGAAGATGGATTTGATTTTAAGTAAAAAACCATTACTACTAATTATCCTTGGATTAAATGGTTTTCACTTTTATGAAAGTCTCATCAACAACGAGAATTTGCGCGTGAATCAGAACGACGCCATTTTACAGGACGCCATATTGGCGACAAGAATCTCAGTTCCATAGGTATTGTAATTGACATATAGTTTACAATAGATTTCTTTTATTTTTCATATACATACGTGTTACCTATAGGGAGGGGCCCGTGAGAGGGCTCCGCCCTCTATCAACAATGCGGTTTAATGGTTCGATAGATAGGTAATTGACCTCTAATTTGACCAAAAGCGAAGAAATTCTGGTTTGTTGTTACAGACAACGATTTAATTATGTTGATTGTACCCAGTTACTAATTATTAATGAATTAATCAAAGTAGTTTTGATAGCGCTAGTACTAGGGGACGATCAAGGTGATCAGGGGCTTGCCTGTGTGTTTATCAAGCGCTCGTGTGGTACCTGTTGTTGTTTTAAGCATGTTAAAAAAATAATGAGGAGCACACGGTGTACAAACATTATAGGGGGGTGGTTGATCTGCAACCATTTCATCATTTTATGTGAACGAAATATTCGAGCACCATGTGTAGTAAAGAAGATTTTCTGTCTTGGGACAATGACATTGATTTAGATGAACTTTTAGGTGACTACACAGACCATGAGGATAAAGATTCAGCAGAGAACTAATGCCCACCTGAGGTTCCAAGTTACCAGTGCCCAGACTGCAAGAAGATTTTGAAATCCATTTCAGGATTTCGGGGGCATATGACCAAACAGCACAAAAAAAGCAGAACAAAAGGTATGTACACATTTGACTTTTTTAAAATATGATTTTTGTTGTCTTTTAACAAAAATTAATCAAATTATTATAAAACATGTTGTTTCAAAAGACTTAACTGATTCAGTATTCTAGTGTATCTAAGTATCTAGTATCTAAGCTTAAAAAAAAAACAATTTTATGTGTAACATATAATTAATTCTTATATTTCTTATATTTCTTACAGCAAGTGATCATCGAGTAACCCAGAAGGCTAAAGAAGACCACAGATCACCTGCTGCCGCAACATTAGTGGACTTCGAGAAGATTTGTTCCGAGGCTAGTAAGAAAACACTTGAGAAGATGTGCAACAATCCAATGTACAAGTTGTTCGGGGACAATCGCATGGAGGTGTTGGCTAGATTTTGCAGCGACACAGACTTCCTGGATGCATTTTTCCTTAACAAACTCAAAGACATCTTCAGTCTCTCGTTGTGCGATTCCAGTGAAAGGGAGCTCTTCTTCTCAAGGATCCATGAGTTGAGACTGTCTTCCTGTGTTCAAAGTGAATGTGTTAATCTATTCAGTGAAAAAGGATGTGAAGAAAAGAGAGAAGACATTATAAACTTCCTTCAGGACTACATTCTCGAGATACCTAGTGAAATTCTTGGAGGCCTTCTGAAGGAAAACAAGAAAGTGTCCGAGGAACTATCATATCAGATTTCTACCAATGACCAAACAATTCTGTTCTACATATCGGGATTCATTGTGGCCAACCTGAGGAAGAAGTGTTACCGAATGTCGAAAGAAAATCGATCCGAGAGACTGAATCTACTTGACAAGCTGACCAGTAAGACCAGCAGTACAAACTTTGAAAATAGACCGATCTCGCAGGATCTCGTGACGTGCGAGATTTCAGCAGATTTTCACAGTTCAGTACTAGAGTTGCCAATCCCGTTAGTATATAGGTCCCTGCTATACCTTTTGACAGTTTGACTTTCTGACCAATGAATTAATTATTTTTATTGATAAAAATGAATTTGAAGCATACAAACATCACTTGCTGATACAGCTGAACCCCCCCCCCTTCCCCGAAATATAAATGTCTATATAGAGATTGTATAAAATCTGTGCCATTCAGTATTATGTTCAGTAGGTTTACTTTTTATGATGTGCTGAGAGAGACTTTTAAGTGAGCATTATTTATCTTTATAATATAAATTTCCACCTCTGTCAGTTTTCAGTCAGTTATCCTATTATTTCAATTCTTTATTGGCATTAGGCATATATTTTACAGAATTGTGTTGTTAAAATATTTAACTAGAGCAAGTTTGTTTCTATAAAAAAAAAGTGCATCAAAGGTTTATAATGTGTGAGCACAAGCATAAAGTAGCTAGTAAGTTTTTTAAAATAGTATTCTATATATCAGCAAAATATGGTCATGTGATGTTCATAAGCAGAAAATAGGAAAACAGCATGTTTGTTTTGATGTCATTATTTTATTTAATAGCTTCTACATTTTCAACTTTAAATTTATTATATATATATCCAAAACTGTACTATATGTATTGACAAAATAGATCTAGGTTAAGAATGCACTGGAAATATTGAGTTATTTTTGTTTATATAGACTCTTTTATTTGCCTGTGAAGTACCGGTACTGTATAATCTATAGTTCAATTTTGTGTGAATAATAATAATCTTTTCAAATAGCATATTTGTTTTATACACACTGACTATGTTTTATAATATTCTAAACAAATTATTTGATACAAAACAAAGAAAAGCTGGAGACCAACACCTTGAGGTTAAAATTGCGGAAGATTCTCACGTGTGGATACCGAAAGGTATTCAATAGGGTCTGTAACTAAAGTTATAAACTTAAAAGTATAAAACAGATCACCAACACTTCGTGAGAATGCAGCAGTAAATTTATTTTGTTGACCGGTTTCGACCTGTGACGGTCGTCATCAGAACAAGTAAGCATGTAAATTTATCTACTGAAGTAAAAAATGCGGATGACGTTGCTATATATACAAAAAATGCGGATGACGTTGCTATATACAAAATAAAATGCGGAGTGTTTCTTACATATGCGGACTTTCATAACAATGGTACTTTATACAAGATATAATCAATTTACGTTTCCTCTAAAGTTTTTCTGACTTAAGATTTAGTCAGTAGATAACATTATTGTTTTATGATTAATAAAATCGTCCATAAATTGTGTGGATTGTTATTCTTCTGTTACATCATCAAGCTGTTTTGGTAGACTGTGACGTCACAATGGAAAAAAATACGGAGGGTTTGTACATGTATATAGAGTACGTAAAATTATACAAGTGGACATTAGATTACATTTCCTATAAATGTTGGGATAATATAAAATATAGTTAGGTTTCATAAATTTCTACTTCTGAATAGTCCTATTTTATGGAGGACAATAATTGTTCATAAAATTACATTAAAATAATTAACATGTATTAATATAAACAAAGATAATTTCTATAGAATGTTCAAAAGTTCATTGTAGTTTTATGATGAAATTCGTTCAGACGAAACGTGAAGGTATGTAGGTCCTCGCTACAATTCGTCCATTATATAAGGGGGGGGGGGGGTGTAGATAACAATTACTGGGATTTTTTATTGTCCTTGAATGCTTTTGTTGATTCCTTATCGGCTTCCTTCTTCTTCATAAAGTTTGGGATTGCACTTAATAGATTGTTTATATGTTCCATTTCGTTAGTATTTTCTTTGTTTTTAAGCTGGGATTTTAAATCAAGTATTTGTGTATTAATCGTATTAATTCTCGTATTCCAATATTCATAAAGTAAGTGGATGAGGCTGCGGCTAAAATTAAGGTGTGCTTCCTTTTATTTGATACTCAGGCAAATATTCACTACTGGTAAGATGATCACACACATGAACATGTCTGTGTATGAATGAACTGAATTTTCCTTTTGATCATGTTCCTAGGAAAATAATTATTTTCATCATTTTTTCATCAAAGGATTTACCATATAAGATGAATAAAGAAAAGGTAAGACCAGTAAACCAAAACAGGACCAAATAGGCCATGACTGAAGTTCAAGTGCATTCTGCATGAAAGTGGACAGCCTAGATTTTGTTCTTTTCAAGGTAACCATTCAAATATGAAAGTAAATTAAGGACAAATGATACAAACAAAAAATGGATGCCTGGATTGGTATATATTTTTTGGCATAATTTAATTGCAAATTAATGATGCTATTAATAAATTCTAGAATATTAAGAAATTGTACACCTTCTGTGATGTTCAAAAGTCTGCCCTCTTGAAACTATGCTTATTAATCTATACAAATATTTTTCACTTCAAATTCCATTTTTATGCAAATATGAATTAAAAATTAAAAAGTACTGGAAGAAAGTTATTAATTTTACTGATTTAAACATGACCCCAGTTGTTATTTTCAAATTCTTTGACAAAAGTTTGTTTGTATCATCTCTCCTTAGATTGTTAAAAAATATATTTCAGTTTTATATCTAAATTTAAACCTTGCATATTTCTTTTTTTTTTAAACAAAATTTAATACCTATCCAGTAACAGAAGAATTATTATACATGTACTAGAATAAAGAAAACAACTTTCTAAAGGATTACATACACATTTAATTAGCTTGAAATCAGTGTATATTGGAAAGTGCAGGAATTATTTACCATTGCAGGTTGAGAAGGGATGCCATATTTTAGGTTTGAAACCAGGCAAGTGAAAGCTGAATTCCAACCTACTCCAACATACTTGTACCCACTGTCTTCAAGATATCGGTGTTTGAGATGTCAAAGTTCAAATATACAGTAATAGGAACATGTTTATCATATTATGTGATGGCATCCTCAAATCTTATGCTGTATAACAATATGTTTTAGAACTTATCAAGCTTTATCCAGTACCTTGCCAAAAAACTCAACTCAGCATAATTCTCATTAACTAATTATCAGTGTTGTCAATGTAGGTCATTACTGGTACATGCCTGACCAACAAAAACTCTAAAATTGAAAAATCAGAGACAAGATTTTCAGAGCAGCAGAAACAGTAGAATTTGTCACGTAATTCTAATGATATGTACTGTAGTTGAGAATACATGTACTCTAAATGTTGCATATATAAAAAATAAAAAAAGCAAAAAGTTCTCTTGTTTTCAGAATTTATATTTACACTTGTACATGAAAAAAAAGAAAGGAGATTGATATAGTTGGTGTGATGAGATGTTGGCAGGAACCTAGTAAAATGAAAGGAAGAACTTCCTTAAAATGATACTTGTGGGGGACAGTGTCTCATGGTGGGGGGGGGGGGGGCATTGTTTCAACTGACTTTACAGAATACAAAAGATCCATTGCACACCTAATTGTTGATTATATGCCAAACACTATGTTTAAAGTTTTCCATTGTTGGATATTTATACCCCCCGCAAATGAAGTTTGGGGGGGTATATAGGAATCACCTTGTCCGTCTGTCTGTCTAGCTGTCTAGCTGTCCGTCCGTCCGTCTGTCTGTGCAAACATGTCTGGTCCATATCTTTCTTATGGAGGGACATTAAAATCTACTACTCCACACAAAGATTGCCCATGATCTAAGGGTGTGTCATGACCTTGACCCAAGGTCAATTGGGGAACTTCAAGGTCACTGGAAGAAAAATTTTATAATTTGTGTCCGGTCCTTATCTTTCTTATGGATAAAGTTGGTAGGTTCTCATTTCACACAGAGATTGCCTATGACGTTAGGGTGTGTCATGACCTTGACCCAAGGTCATTTGGGGAAGTTTAAGATCACCAGGAGAAAAATTTCATAATGTGTGATACACATTTTTATCATGGAAAAACTTACTTTTGAAAAACCCAGCGGGGGTATTTTGTCCCGTTTGGACAGTTCTAGTTATGATTAAATCCAAGATAACTTACCGAAGAGGATGTGATTTTTTTTAAACCAATATAATTTTTCTCAAGTTTAAAGCCGTGTTTCATAAGTTTTAAAAGAAAAAATCAGAAGGGGGGGGGGGTAAATTTTTTACTTCATTCAAAGTATCTGTGGTTTGCAGTTGCCCATGAATTAAATAAAAAATTATACAAAGTAACAAGTTGAAATGAGTAAAATATTATGAATGTCCTGCTTGTTTTAGTTTCATTTCAGAATTTTTCAAGTTTGGCCAAATCTTGAAAAGGTAAAAGCCACAAGGTTTTGCAATTATTTGACATAGCATTACAAAATGCATTATATTTTTGCAACATCATAAAGATGCAAATTTAAGATGCCAAAAAATTTAGTTCACATTCACATTTAACTCATTACACAGGTTTTATAAAAGAGTAAATAAGTGTAGTTTTGGGAATATTGTTACGTTAAACGCAGCCATTTTGGTTAAAAATCTGGTATTCCTGTCTCCATGGTAACAAATCTTGCATTCCTGTTTCCATAGTAATAGAGAATGGATAGGGAAAATTTTATTTCATATTATTTTCAATCTAGGGGGATAGTTTCAGGAAACTTGAAACATGCCCTGGTTAGTCTACATGTACTTCAAAACTGTCAATTTTACGGAAAGGGGGGGAGGGCATTTTGTGCAGGTGTTCACAGTTCTCCTATCTAAGAACAGATTTACATGTATTAATGCTCTTGGAAATGAGATCTGAATATTCTTACATGACACCTCTCCTAGATATGGACTAATTTTACTGTAAATGACATCAAAACAGGTAGAAAGGAACGTTTCTTTTCTATATGAACTTAATGAAATGTGCATATGTTCCTTGAAATACGGAAATTTTGCAGATTTTTGGGTAATTTTTCATCAGCTTTTTAAAAAAAATATTTAAGTGTCCCATAAATATTTTAATGTGTTTAAACTAACTTATGTACCATCTATACAATGCACTGTTTCCTGAATTTCAAATCAGTGTGCAAAGTATTAAAAAATCGCTTTGAAAAAGGGTCTAAAATGGTAATTTTCTCAATTTGGCAAAATGCCAAAATCCCCAAAGCTAAGCGTTGTTAAGCCATTATGTAGAATTACAGTTTTTAAAAAATTATGTTGTTATACTAGAGAGGAATAATGGTAGTTTTGAAACAAACGTAGATTTTCCCATTCTCTTGTTTCTTTTAAGCTCATTTTTATTCAGTAAAACCTACAAAATCACGTTTTTTGGTCAAATTTAGGAAGAATTTACAGGGGAAACAATAGGTGCTGTTACCATGGCAACAAGACATTTTTCAAAATAAAAAAATTTAAAACCATTAATGATGTGACAATGTGAGTACACACAAAAAGTTTCATAGAAATTGAAAATGTAGCGTGGCCAAGCATTATTGATATT